ATATTTTTGCGATTGGGTGCTGTGATTGCGCAGAGATTGATGTTGATTTGGTCATTCCTGCAATATCTGAGATCTTAAGATATCTGGGAATTGATTGAATGATCATTCACGTTGTTTGCGACTAGTTCATGCTGGGTCGAGCTATGTGTTGATGAGCTTATGCTGGGTCAAACAACCGATAGAGTTGGACTGGTCCTGGGTTGAGCTATATCCTCGCGCTATCCCGAACTTGGTGGAAAAATCACACACAACACCTGCCATGACTACTGCAAGAAAAAAAAAATGGAATGGATTTTAGAAAATTTGAGACCATGATGACGTATTGAGTAGCCAGCCAGAGAACGATGAGAGATGATTGTGAGTGAAAGTGTTTGTTTATTGTTTTAGTGATAAAAATACGTGCTACAGCATAAAATTTATAATAGAGGAATTAGCGTCTTGGTGAGGTTTGTTGTTCATTTTCATCAAAGTTTCTAATTGCCCTGATGGGCGCAACACTCGACAACAAAGGATAAGGAAGTTACTAACAATTAGCTGCGAAAACAATTGCTTTAACCTTTAAGTATTATTAGTGTATTATTACAAGCAGCTCTGCTATTACTAGTGGTCCAAAATGGTTGAGCTAAAATATATCACAAAGAAGAATTAAAAATGAATTAATCAATTAAATAAACATGTGATTACAAGAAAAGAAAGATGAGTTCCAAATTAAATATTTTAATAAGCCCTTGAAGTGCAACACACGCCTTAATTTAATTTGGGTTGTTAGGATGTCTGATTTTAAAGCCTTATCATATGACACATCATTAATATAAGACACAAATACCCCAAATGAGCAAACCAAACTAATTTTTTATTGAAATTTTTATATCACCGATTAATACAGATTTCTTTTTTAAGTGATTTTTTTTTTTTAAATTCTTTTATAAATATATTGTACTTGAAAACTCTATTTAATTTTCATACATTTCGGTTGCTGTTCCTTCAATATTTGTGATAGTAATTCTTTATTTACTGATTTATACACTGGAGGATCATATCACTAACCATGGGCGAAAATCTTCCATATTTTGTTGGGTTCCCATACACCAAATACTTGCACTATATTTTATAATCTTTTCAACATATCTTGTTATAAACTTATAATTTAGTCTTTAGTAGCCCACCTAGTACTATATATGTCAAACTATTAGTTTGTAATTTCATAAGGCATGTCCATGCAGTTGATAATATTCTTAACCTCTTCTTTCTTATATAGTCATCAGTCATTGCATTGAATTTCAATGCCTTAGAATTTAAAACCAATAAGTTCACGTAGGTTAACAATTCTCGACATGCATGCCACTCATAGACTTTTTAATACAAAGTTGGATCCTAACTTTGCAGCCTAATTAATGTGGTCGATGACCTCCAAATCTAATATAAACTACAATGAAGTAAATGTTTTATCACACCGACTTATAATTTATGTGGTAATATTGATGCACCGCCAACCACATCTCTTAGGATATAAAGATGAAATTTCAACCACAAATACATTGGATTAAAGGAAAAATCGAAGTGAGATATTGTGGTGAAAGAAATCCATGTAGGCCAAAAGTTTCCTATCACTAACCAACGAAACAGTATAAACAAAGTTGAAAATATTTGCCAAAATTTACAATATTTCATCATCAAGATTTTTTTACCTAATTGACTTATTATGCTTTCAATAACTCTTTCAAATTATTTTTATCTTAATTAATTTTCAGATAAATACTTCCTTGTACCTTCATAGTTCATACTGAAATTCCTTCAACCATCTAAACAAAGGTTACAAATGGCGTTCCCTTTATGAACATAATAGCTCATCTCACCAAATCAAATTAAAACTAAATGACTAAAGTTTATTGATATTACTTGAAGTTAAGTCTTCCTTAATAACCCAAATTTTTATTAAAAAAAAAAAATGTAAACCTTTGTTTCATGTACTTTTAACGTGGAAAATTTTGAAAACGTAGAATAAGAATCTTATTAATAATTTGAGTAAATTTCCTGTAACGAAAATTTGTATAAAATGAAATGTACATCAATGGAATTCAGAGATATAAAAGGACATCCAAATTGATTTTTCAGCCCGATGACTATTTGTGTATTATTACAGAAGATTCCAACTCTTTACCGGCATTTGAGATGCTACTGCATAAGGATTACTCAGATATAAAATACACAATCATCATAATAAAAACAATAAAATATAAGGACAGAAAAGCAGAAAATTTAATTAGATTGAACTTAAGACTTGGGTGTAAGGCATGTGTTGAGCTTTTGGATAGTTGCAACATCAATTTTGAAAGCCCTAGCAAGAATTTTATCATCAATGCCACTAGTAAACACATCGAGAGGATTTGAAACCGTGCCTGCATTAGCACTTCCAAAAACAGAAATAGCGGCAGAAGGTTGTTTTGTATCATCATTGGACTAATAGTGTTCCAATCACTTTGGAAACACAAACATATCTCCAGGTGTGAGAGTTTTGTTAACATATGAAGCCCACGATGGTGTCGTTTTGAGCATTAGTAACACGCTGCTGTTTTGGTTATTATCCTTTGCGATCTTGACTTTGATTTGTGACTGATCCAAGGCTGAAATCACTCCTGCTGGTCAACGGTATAAAAGAAGCTGAATTGCCCAATTTGCATAGTTGGTCTTTTGTGTATTTTGCGATTGTATTCTCTCTGCTAGGGTTCTTGATTCTATTCATATCTCTTGTGTAAATCTTGTTGTAAATCTGATTGGAAGTTGTGTATCTTTCAAGGGTAGAGAAGCATGAATAGTTTTCTCTAGGGTTGCAGATTTACAGTGTAAAGGGTTGAAGGATTAAGGTGTTGAGAGTGATTAGTTGAGTGCTTGTGGTTAAGTTTGTACTCTGTGATACTCGTTGATAATAGTGCAGTGAGCTTCCATATTCTGGAGCTCAACGTCAACGTAGTTGTTCAATCTTGAACAAATGAACCACGGTAAAAGATTGTGTGTTGGTGATCTTGATTTGATCTATAGTTGTTTATTAGTGTTAAATGGTGAAGTCTGGGACACCATTTAAAGTCAAGTGAAACACTATCGTTTTGTTCAGTAAACTCAAATTAAGCTCAGCCCTTCGATGAATGCAAGATCTGACAGCTCCAATTCACCCAGCAATCAACGATACAAAAGAACCTCCTTTTATCATTTGTGAATAGTCTCAGTTTTTCTCTCTCCGTAAATCGCGATTGTAACCTGGTTGTTAGGGTTTGTCACTTGATTTGTTCTTCTTGTGTGAATCTGTCTAGAGTCTTGTTGAAGGTTGTGAGTTCCTTCAAGGGTAGTGAGTTCTCTAGGGATTTTCAGGTTTGCGGTGTAAAAGGGGCAAAGGTGAGTGAGTGATTGTGGTGATTGCAATGAGAGAGGTTTGATTGTAATCTGTAATCTTGAGGCTTTAATCATAGTGCAGCGAGTCTCCATATTCTGGAGCTCAACGTGGACGTAACTTGTTCGATATTGAACAAGTGAACCACAGTATATTGTTGTGTTGATTCTTGATTCTTTACTGTCTATTTGTGTTTGAGTAAATAGTGTTTAGGTTTGCTCAATTAGACTTAGTTTACAACAATTAGCAATAAGGTTGATTGTGTAGGCTCGATTTCTAACATGTTTGTTTATAAATTTTGATATTGGTGTCAATAAACCCAACATTCAGCCATCCCTTTAACACCAAGAGTAGCTCAGCTGAACGCAGGTGTGTGTGAGGGTGGGTTTGACCATCTAACAAGTTTGTCATGCTGGCTTTAGTCACTGTGAAGGTTTGAATGTATTCGGACTTAACTACGTTGCGCAGGCCAGTGAAAGAAAAGAAATTTCCATAAACAGCTTCGTTAGCGCTATAATTCCTTGGAACTAAAAAGTCTTTGGTGATATCTGCATCACCTGCCATGACTATTTCAAGAAAGACGAAAAATGGAATATTTAAGAAACTTTGAGACCATGACGACGTATTGAGTAGCTAGCTAGAGAAGAATAAGAAATGATTGTGAGGTAAGTGTTTGTTTTTTGTTTTTGTGATGTAATATTTATTGCATGCTAGAACATAAATTTATAGTTTTTGCTAATTGCACCGATGGCCGGTTGTGGTTAAACACCAAAGTCAGTAAACAAGGGAAGTTCTTATAACACAAATGGAAAAGGAAATAAAAAAATGCAATGAAAAAACTATGCTTTAAGCATTATTAGTTTATTATTATAACAAACTCTGCTAATATCCCATAAAAATAATTTTTCATAAAACGGATGTATGATACAATCAACTAATTGTAAAAAAAGTGCATGCCTCACTCATTGACATGGTACCCTATAATTGGTTGATTGTCTATACGTCATTTGTAAGAATGATTTATATATATATATATATGGTATTCAAACCGATAAAGCCCAAATATATCGCCAAACAAGAATTAATATTGATAGATTTTTAATTTTTAATAGCAAACCAACTTCGATGAGTACCGTATTAAAGTATTGATTCTATAACAAATTGACCATAAAATTCGTAATATTCGATGATAAGCTTATAAAAAGGTATATTATTAACCGACCCTCATGAAAAGTTTATAAAAATCCTAAGAGATTATACAGTATGCTTTTACATTAATGTTCACATTTCCAACCAACTTAACAAATTTAATAATAATAAACCTATGCATACAAATATTTTAATCAAATGTCGCGGACCACTTAAATTTAACCGAACAAGATAAAATAAGTACTTCATTGATCGAATTCACATTTATTAAGGACATCTAGAGTAACGATTAATTTTGACAAATTATTAGTATTATTACATAAACTCCACTTATTTATCAACGTGATGCTAACCTGACGCGAGAGAGGCTATCTAGAGAATAATACAGCATAAATATTAAAAAAAAAAAAAAAAAAAAAAGTGAAAACAAGCACAACAAAATAGAAAAAGATGAGATTAATTGAATTTAAGCCTTGGGTGCAAGGCCTGCCTTTAGCTTCTGAATAGTTGCAACATCAGTTTTGAAAGCCTTAGCAAGGATGGTGTCATCAATGCCAGTAGTAAACACACTTAGAGGAACTGAAACTGTGCCTGCATTAGCACTTCCAAAGGCAGAGATTGAGGTTGAAGGTTGATTTGGATCATCGTTAGACTGATAGTGCACCAATCCTTTTGGAAACACAAACATGTCTCCAGCTGTAAGAGTTTGTTTATAAATTTTATTATTGGTGTCAATAAATCCAACATTCAGCCATCCCTTTAATACCAAGAGTAGCTCAGCTGAACGCGGGTGTGTGTGAGGTGGGTTAATAGCTCCTGCTGGAAACTGTAAAAAAGTATAAGAGACACTTTGACCATCCAAAGCTGGAAAGTTTGCAGTGTTGGCTTTAGTCACTGTGAAGTTTTGTGTGTAGTCGGAGTTAACTACGTTGCGCAGGCCGGTGAAAGTAAAGAAATTTCCATCAACGGCTTTGTTAGCGCTATAATTCATTGGAACTACGAAGTCCGTGGTAATATCCGCATCACCTGCCATGACCATTGCAAGAAACAAAAAAAATGGAATGGATTTAAGAAAATTTGAGACCATGATGAAGTATTGATCAGTAGCTAGCCAGAGAAGAATGAGAGATGATTGTGAGTGAAGTGTTTGTTTATGATAAAAATGCGTGCTACAACATAAAATTTATAATCGAGGAGTTAGTGTCTTGGTGAGGTTTGTTGTTCATCTTCATCAAAGTTTCTAATTGCCCTGATGGGCGGTTATGGCGCAACACTCGACAATAAAGGATAAGGAAGTTACTGACAAGCTGTGAAAATAATTGCTTTAAGTATTATTAGTATATTATTACAACAAACTCTGCTATTACCAATGGTGCAAAATGGTTGAGCTAAAATATATCAGAAAGAAGAATTAAAAATGAATTAATCAATTAAATAAACATGTGATCACCATAGGGAAATTGAGTTTTTCTAACAATTATGTTGATACATAATGTCATATACAATACCCAAAAGAAAAGGGTCACAAATCCACCTTCTAAAGATTACTAAATAAAAAAATAAAAAAACCATCGTGGCTTTTGTTAGAAGTAAGAATTCTGTTACAATAATTTGAGAAGTAATACTACAATTACAAAGAAATTTTACAAAGGTCTCCATACAAAGTGGTATGACAAAAAATAAATAGAAGAGTGAATTTAATGAGTTTAACTTTTTGTTTCACTCTTCCATTCATATTTTACCACCTCACTTTGTATGGAAATTTTTGTAGGATTTCTTTGTAAGTATAGTATTATTGTAATTTGAGACACATCATTTCACTTATCAGTGACGGTAATGCCATTACTAGATTTCTTTTTTAAGTGATTTTGTTTTTATTCTTTTATAAATATATTGTACTTGAAAAAGCTATTTAAGTTTCATACATTTCGGTTACTATTCCTTCAATATTTGTGACAAATTTTTTTTTATTAATTGATTTATACATTGCAGGTTATATTGATCACATCACTACCCGGGAGTGTATATCTTCCATATTTTGTTGGGTTTCCATTCACCAAATAATTGCACTATATTTTATAAAATTTTCAACATATCTTGTTATAATCTAGTCTTTAGTTGCCCACCTAGTAATACATATTGTTATGCCTAAAAAATCAGGGTTGACATCGGCCCACGTCAGTAAGCACCAATTAAAGTTTAGGAAGGCTTTATGCTGTCCAGGAGTTGCCACGTCGCTCCATGACAGGAAGAATATGGCTATCATCAACTTGGCAGATTCAGGTTTTGTCTAAGAGTGAATGAGAGTCGCATACTTGTCTAAACCCCAAGTAATTTGAGGATATCTCCTAAGTTATCAGCCAATGGGAGGCAAGGAAGGACTTGCATGACACCTACCCACTTATAGATTTGTAATTATTACCTTGAATTCCTCTACTATAAATAGAGGACTCCCCCTCACATTTTCGGGATTCTGATATTGAACCCGCATTCTTATTGTAATCTTTAACTTTCAAAGCAGTTAGCGATGATGACCAGTCCTTGGCCATTTTCTATGTGGGGAATTGATCTCATAGAACCCATGCCAACCAATGAAGGGGGCATCAAGTATGAAGTGGTCACAGTGGATTATTTCACTAAGTGGGTCGAAGTAGAGCCTTTGATCGCGATCACTACAAAGAAACTTAAAGACTTCGTCTTCAAGAATATAGTCTGCCGCTATGGGATTCCTCATACACTCATCTCTGATAATGGGAAACAGTTCGACAATGAGGAATTCAAACAATTTTGTGAAAAGTTGGGGATTCATAAGAAATTTGCCTCAGTAGCAAGACCACAGGCTAATGGTCAGGTTAAAGCTAGCCTGATGGTACTCATCTCTCTTGTCACAAGTACTTAGCCTGCAGGTCTTATGTTCGAGAGATGGGGAAGGTGAAAGAAACCCACTTGCAGGGGTGGGGATATCCGGGTGAGTGAGGCCCAAGATGAGGGGCGCATGTGGAAAGCCCATGAGGCCGCAGTAGGCCAAGATTGGGATAGCCCATGGTCCAAGATGACGGGGTCTCACAATAAAAAGGCGCTAGCTTGATGGTACTCATCTCTTTTGTCACAAGTACTTAGCCTGCAGGTCTTGTGTTCGAGAGATGGGGAAGGCGAAAGAAACCCACTTGCAGGGGTGGGGATATCCAAATGAGTGAGGCCCAAGATGAAGGGGCGCATGTGGAAAGCCCATGAGGCCGCAGTAGGCCAAGATTGGGATAGCCCATGGTCCAAGATGACGGGGTCTCACAATAAAAAGGCGCTAGCTTGATGGTACTCATCTCTTTTGTCACAAGTACTTAGCCTGCAAGTCTTGTGTTCGAGAGATGGGGAAGGCGAAAGAAACCCACTTGCAGGGGTGGGGATATCCGGGTGAGTGAGGCCCAAGATGAAGGGGCGCATGTGGAAAGCCCATGAAGCCGCAGTAGGCCAAGATTGGGATAGCCCATGGTCCAAGATGACGGGGTCTCACAGTTTTGAAGTGTCGCAAGATTGAAATGCTGAACATCTTCGCCCCTATTATCAGTAATTCCGAACTTGCTTATAGCTTGATCATTTTTTTACTTGTAAAGTTTTCATTGTTGTAAATATCATGAATAAGATTGTCCTGATTGTCCTAATTCTCCTCAAGGAAATACTTGTGTTGTAGTTACAAGTTTTTTAACAATCTTATTATTTATAACATTTTATAAGTTCAATGATCATATATGCTATATTTGTTTTGTGAAGTGCTTAAGTTATAAAAGTGCTATCACAATTGGTCAAAATTCCTTTTTATATATTTCATAAATATGTACAAGGGACGACCAAGAGCCATATCAAAAAAGATAAGCAAAAAAGACTTTATTCAAGCAGAGAAGAGAACGATCACTGGTCTTTATTTTCAGGATCCTTGGCTGAGACCTTTTGGTTGTCTGGTTGATTGCCGACCTTTGGGTCGATTGCTCGATCTTTAGGGATATCCATTTTCTGCTATCGTCCTTCGAGGCAGGCTCTTGTTCTTCTTGTTCATCGGCCTCGACCATAGAAACAAAAGCAACTTGTTAGTCCTCGAGGAGGTCGAAGATATCCATGTCTGGATTTCTTGCCCGTAAGTTATAAATAGCTCTTAGTGCCCAGTGAGCAGTCTTCCTCTCCAGGCAAGGTTCTATCACTTCATCTACTCAGTCAACGAAGTGACTCGCCCTTGAGCCATCTCAAGATCTGCTCACAGCGCCCCTTTCTCTCTCTCTGACGGGTCTGCTAGTTGCCCTAGTAGATCCAACATGGATAGGTCTAGCCTCTTAGGGGCAGGAACCTCTTCGACCCATTGCTCGTTGTTAGAGTCATGAAAGTGACTCTATTTTGGTGATAAAAGTACCCTATGTGTGATTAAATTGAAGTATATTGAGACAATTAAAGAATTTATGAATTTATTTACGAAAATCGCTTCCTAATATTTTTCTTATGAATTTAACGTGTTTGGAATGATTTTGGAAAGTATATGAGTTGATATTAGGTTGTGGTTTATGGATTAAGGGTGATTTTGTCTCATTAATGCTGTTTAGGGGGTAAAATGTCATGTTTTAAGGGGCTGATTTTGTCACTTTTCAATTATGCAGGGACCAAACTGATATTTTGCAATTTGTTCTATAAAAGAAAACAGAAGTTCGCGTGAACCAGGAGGCGCTGTTCATCATCTTTTCTGGCGACCCTTCGTCTTCCATTTTCGGTGACCTCCGACCACTCTTCGGTTTCCTCGTGCATAGATCGTCGTCATCCCCATCGACCCGGACCACCACCGTGAATCACGGAACGTAGCCACGGCATTTTGTCCTCCACCACTGTGACTGTTCGTCTTCCAGGCCAGTTTTGGCCGTTTTTCGACGACGTTTCAACTCCCTAAGAGTAGATCTTCCTTCCCCACGGCCGGATCTACACTTCCCTAGCTTCAGCCGCCGCAAAAACCGTCGGAATCCACCAAATTGCCGTCACACCTCTTCATCTTCCAGCCCAGATCTTGCTCATTTCTGACGACTTCTCACCTCCCCAGGACCTGATCTGAACTCCCCATCACCAGAGCTTTCCATCGGTACCTTCGGATCCCATTTCTGCCACCGTTTCTGGAAGACCCGCCGAAAAATTAACGTTTTTCGGCGAGTGCAGCTGTTCGTATTTCGGGCTGTCCGTTGGTCGTTTTCGCCCCTTCTTCACATCACATCACTGTTGGTTACCTCCTCTCCACCATGGTCAGCTTCGTTTGCACCGTTTCGGCCTCTGTCATCACCACCATGAGCGGCTAAGTTCCTGGTTGTCTGTTATGGCATAGGCGAGATCGAGATTGACTCCACAACTCCCCTCATCAGCTCTCGACTAGTTGGATGAGCCCGATTATAGGACATTTGGTACTATTGTGCTTCGAATTATATTTGTTTTCGTTTCATGATTGATTTCGATACTTTAATATGATTTGAGCATAACTTGTGATGAATATTGTTGTCCATTATGATTTAATGTTTTCATAGAATTTGCTGAATGATAAACGTTGGTTTGAAATAATTAAATGATAAATATTGCTTTTCATTACTTCGCATCGATTGTAATTGAGTTGTGTTCGGATTTAATTTAATTTCTACTATTGTTGCGTTTATTGTGAAGTTGGTTGATTGGATATTACGTGTTGATAAATTGTATTTGTTAATCGTGTACCAACTAGTGGTATTGCTTTGTAGCATTTATCGGCGTTCAATGATAGTCTTTAACCAATCGAACTTGAGTGATCGGGTGAGACAGGATAGATTATACCTAGAGTGTCGGGAAGCCATTTCATTGATTTACCTTGCCTTGTAGGTTTAGGGGATCGTAGAGGGTGGAGAAGAATTGTGTGAGTCGGTCTCGTGTCGAACCAAAATCGTAACGGCAACATTTTTTATTATAAAGTCTTTATTAGTTTTAATTTCACTCTTTAATTATTTGCATTTAGTCTATTTAGTTTCAGTAATCAATTGTCAATTTCATTTCCGCTACTTAAAATACATTAGGTTGTTAGTCTTGCTCCATGTGGATTCG